AATATCGGAGATTAACTTTAACCCAGGTTTTACAAACTCTAACGAAATCAACGCTTTAACCACTAGGCTACCGCCACCGCAACATCACGGCGGGGACATCATTGAAATGGGCTTGACATTTCAAGCTTGGATTCGAACCCAGGTCTTCGGCGTGACGAAAACGCTTTAACCAGCCTACATCATTATATTTAAGCTTGATTATTAACAAAACCATTGATAAAGACCAAACATTGAAGACCTACATTGAGTATTGTCGGAGTAAATTAAAACTTTATTTCATCACGATAGTTATGTACAATAGTATCGATGGCATAAGTTTCGATAAAAATCGATAATCAATCATATGTTTTGCCTTCGACGATATATCCGATTATCGATCTTTTTAGCCAGCGTCACTATTAGACTGGAGGGGACCGCCTCCGGGGTGTAGTGGTTAGAGCGTCCGCCCGGAGTGCGGAAGGTCGCGGGTTCGATCCCCGATCGCGTCATACCAAAAGACGTTAAAATATGGTACTTGTTGGTCCCTGTCGGGCGCTCGGCATTAATGGGTACAACAAGGACTGGTCGGCTCGGAGTCAGTATAATGTGTCTGAGTGGGGTATTCATGCTTCACTGCGGTATGGTATCTCAGTAGGCTAGCACTTTAAAACCAGCTTCAGTCTGGGCTAGTACAAACAGCCGCACATACACATACACACGCATGCACGTCGTCATATGAGCGAAATATTCTCAAGCACGACGTTAAACCCAATTCACCTCACCTCACTTAGACTGGAGGTACTATTTCCTCGGTGATCGGACAAGCTTCATTGATTATTCGTATGTCTTTTTTCCATCCTCACGACTAACGTATGCGAGTCTGAGTACGGCTGTGTGAATACGTGTGAACACAGCTGGGTATATATACACACGGGAACAATACGCTAAGGCCAGTAAGTGCCACGTCCCCTCTACGGGGGATCGTACGCTACGTGACTACACGCACGAACTCTTCGCAAACCCTCAGATCAATAGGTTCAGATTATTGATTTAATACACGTCACGATTATCTCTGCTTATTACTATCTGCACCGGCAAGTCCGACTGTAGAGTAAATTATTGCCGTGGACGAGCGTCCAACCCTATTCGTGCTTGGCATTAATTAATCCCCGTATGTATAGACTACATCTCGATGTTGTGTAGTCTGTTACAGTCCCCGATCCGTATTATCTCCCTCCTGCCCAGCCCTTTCTGCAATGCTAAGCCCACAATGAAGCAAGTCAAGATTGACTAAGGCTCTAAATCTCCCATCTTTGGGACCGTTCATAATTTAAGGCTGGGGGGTGATGTTGATTTATTTTATTTTATTTTATTATTTTTTGGGGTCACTCATTGTGTTCGGGGGTCATCATTTGTACACACGTACTAGGGGGATCAGCAACTTTGTACATACAAGTATGTTAAAAATTATGCTTAGAAATTATGGGAAAGGAGGGGGTCATTGATTTTGTACATGACATGCGGGGGGTCCCTTATTTTGTACATAAATTTTAGGGGGGGGGGGTCATTCACATTGTACATGCTCCTCCATAAAAATCAACATCGCACCCACCCACCCCCCATAAATTATGCATTTATGGTTAGGAGGGTTGATAATGATTTGAATGGAGGTCACCCATTTTGTTCTGGGGAGAAAGTGGGGGGTGGGGGCATCAATCGTATTTGATTTTGAACATGACATGCAAGGGGGTCGGGTACTTACTTTGTACATAAATTTGGTATGGGGATGGAAGCGGGTCATTTACATTGTACATGCTTCTCCATACGGTCCCCCTACTGGGGCTGTTTTTCAATTTGGAGAGATCTTTATGACATTAACACGAATATAATTGCAGCTTTTTATGCACACACACAAATATAATTGCGGAACCACAAAATATCTTCTGGTCTATTTTTGTTTAATTTTTATAAATATGTTTAACAGGTGCGGCAAACGCCGGCTCATGTCGGCGAGCCTGTGTGGTGCAGTCGCCTAGCTGCGCTACGATGTCCTTGTGACCGAGAATACAACAAGACGCGACGGAAATTTAAGTGATACTTGAACAGGTCACCCAGTTTTAGTATACCTTTCAAGGTCATTGTTGTAAGCTCGCTGCATTGCTTTGATAAGTATGAATGGGAGCTTATGTAGCTCCTGCTTCGGTTATGTCCCTTATTTCAGTTGCTTGGTGGTGACTGAAACCAGAAACAAGACACAAACGGAATTAAACACGTTAACATCACCTGGCTGATTCTTTATGGATAAATTATGATCTATCTGTCTGTCTGTCAGTCTTAGCAATATCACGGTCGGGGACACCAGAAATGGGCTTCACACATTGTACCCATGTAGGGAATCGAACCCGGGCCTCAGGCGTTACGAGCGTGCGTTTTAACCGTTAGCCTTCTTTACTTCTCTTCACAGAGAGAGAATTGTTTTCAATATTGAATTTGAAAATTGAGAGAGAGAGAGAGAGAGAGAGAGAGAGAGAGAGAGAGAGAGAGAGAGAGAGAGAGAGAGAGAGAGAGAGAGAGAGAGAGAGAGTTCTTCAGATCCAGTTGTACGTGGAAAAGGGGGTGGGGTCTTGGTGTGGGGGAGGTGTAACTCTGACAACATTATCCATATTTTCTTATAAATTGTAAATAATATGGTAAATACGACAGTAAATGACAGATTGCGTTATTGATATTTATTGATATAACACCACACCTAACTGATAAGCCTGTCGAGTCAGGGGCCGTGCACGCGAGAGGTGCAAGGTTTTTGGGTGCATTTATAAGTGGTCCCCACAATACTACTGTCTGTCACGTCAACGATAACACGTTAAGTTTAGTCGTTTACACAATCTCCCGGTGCCATGTCTCTATCTGTTTGTGTCAATAATTGATATTTAAAGCAAGATAATATATCTGTGTATCCTTTATCCAGGACCGAGGGCTAGAGACGACTTAATGCAGCCGATTGACGTCGACTAACAGAGGCTTTGTATCTCGCCATTGATTTCCTTTAGTCAACAAATACAAGCTGGCTTCAAGCTGACCGATAGGCAACAACTGCAAAACGGTTATTACATTGCGTGTGTAACATGATGTCAGGGTATACGCCCTGGATCTGAATGTTGTATTTGTCAGCAGGCAGTGTGCGAACTGGCCCTCTACCCGTGGCTAGTAAAAATCCAGTCGGGTCAGTAAATCTCCACAGTCACTGGCCCGACTGGCTAGTAAACTTTCATGGGGTCATTTTGTAAATATATCACTCTCTCCGACTTGTTAAGTTATAACACACATTTAAATCATGCGAGATTATGGCCTGATAAAAATGTTCATCATATTAGCAGCTTAATGATAAAACCCGTGTCATGCCGACAATATCTTATTCTCATCTATTTTTGTAATCTTTTGCTTAGTTTCTACATTCAAATTTCGGGCTAGTGAATTATTTTGTGGGCCAATAACTTTCAGGCATAGCTAGCACGACTGGCTTGCAAAATTTGGAAACTATTTCGCACACTGACAGCAAGGGATCTAAAAGGTTGGCCACCGTCATATGGCCATTGGTCAATAACGTGAGTGAACAACAAATACATCTTTTTACGGGAGACTTTTAATGTCAAAGGGCTGTTTGGTGATCGAAAACCGAACTATCTACAACAGCAGATATATACGTTTAGATATGATAAAATTTCTGTAAATTCATGAAAGGACATGATTCATTCACAATGACCGACAAATACAGACTAAAGTTGTGATTGTTATAAAATATATAAAAAGGTAATGATAGGTTGAGAAGGACGACTACGTTTCTAAGTGCACACACACACGCACACACGCACACGCACGCGCACACACTCACGAACTGAAACCAGACAAAAACTCCAAGTAGTGAAACACTGTTGCCTATGAACAAGAATTACCCTGAGTAGGATTTGGGCAACAAAGTGAGAGGTATAGACTATTGGAATCGATAGACTACAGAGTAGTCCTTGAAAATGTATGTTTGGTTTTAAGAACCAAAAGAACTAATAAATTATAAAGGAGCACAACGTAAGTGTTGCCGACACATTTCCTCTCCTACCCAGAGTTCCATGTGGCCAGAATAATAACTTCCGGTGTCCATATAAACTGACGTACAAAAGAAAGTATACATGGTGTTTTGGGATTATTTGAAAAGTGGTGTGATTTTGACTGGCAACTTGGCAATTGGACACGATATCTATTGTGTTTTGGCAACATATTAGGAAAGTTTGTGACTTATATATCACTGTAAAAACTCTTTTCAAAACTTTTACGTCGCTTTTCGGAAAGTAATCCAAAAGGTGTGTACTTTCTTTTGTACGCCAGTTTAGTACGCCCTTTTCCCTATGTAGGTTGATTCTTATATCCAAGTAAATAGCACAAAGTATACTCGTATATAAAATCAGAACAATACGTATCACAAATAACACATGGAATATAATACACAACGAACCACATGGACGTATGTCAACATGGCCAAAACACATAACTGTGTCACAAAACAACACATAAAGACGCAGATTGAGATCGCAGACGAGAACCATTTGTACGACCAGAATCGCCTCACGTCCTCACAACGCAGCACAAATAGCACGAACCTGGCACAAAAACCATTTAGAATGACATTTCGCTTAACACATAATGCATGTTACACACTTTCTAAAAAAGTTAATGATATTTACAGGATTGTTTTTCTGTTGAGGTCACTTAAATATTTAGGGAATGTTTCAAAATGTTTCGGATGTTTCTCATCCCCCTCGGTGTTTCTATGAATTTTCTGAAAGAAAATCTTCATAATCATAAAGCCAATTTTAAAAATTTAATTGGCATGTTATGGCCTGTTTAGTTCCACCATATCCGAGAAATATGACGAGAATTGAATCTGTACAAGATGTAATTGACGTGATTCCTTATGGAACATTCCCTTGCCATGGAAACCAGAACAGTCTTCACATCTGTTAAATCTGCAAGAGGTTAATCTGTAGACAATGTCGTCAGGCGGTCACGCTGCCAAGGCTACTGTTGTGTAGAAGGTGAGTGAATGGGGACTTTGTGTCCTTGTAGCTACACTGAACTGTTATATCGCTGTTTCTGATTACTATGATTATGATGTGTTCTATATACTTTTATTGAAAGCACCCGTGGAGATCCGGGTTAGAATTGGTCTTCAACAACCCATGTTTGTCGTAAGAGGGGACTAACGGGATCGGATGGTCAGGCTTGCTGACTTGGTTGACACATGTCATCGTATCCCAATTGCATAGATCGATACTCAAGCTGTTGATCACTGGATTGTCTGGTCCAGACTCGATTATTTACAGACCTCCGCCATATTGTTGGAATATTGTTGAGTGCGGCGTAAAACTAAACTCACTCATTCACCATTTATTGAAAGCAGAGTTTTTCTTTGTGTAAACAATATATATTCTCACAGTAGAATATTAGATTTGAAGGGGGCGATTGACAGAGAGAATGTGCGGGTAATTTATATCAATACACGCAACCTGTATGCAGGGGTTGAACATTTTTTTAAAACTCCACTGTACACAGGTCCAGTAAACTTTCAAAATCCACTTGACCAAATATTTTTTTCACTTGACCACAATTAACAATTTGTTTTCTTTTGCAAATAATCTTGATCAGTTGGTAGCAACTGCATTTTTATTTCATCATAAAAATACATGTATCAAAACACTTCAGTAGTTTGGCACTACTGTGCCACGGTAAAGTTTAATGTGGATATTTACTTGACCGACCGGAGAATTCCACTCGACCCGGGCGTCGGGCAATGGTATTCGTCAACCAATGTTATGTAATTAAGGCTGGGTCAGGGCAACCAGTGGTTGATAACATGAACACCATCACACCCTGACGGATTACCTTCACAGCACCTCTGAAGATCTTCTTCGTTTGTCTGGCTATTATCATACCCAACAATAATGTGTCCATTCATATAGCGCCAAACTCCACACCAGGTATGCTCTCAGCGCTAACAATCAGTAAAGCATTACCACTGATAAAGAACTTTTTAAACTTTAATACACGTAAATATCGTGGCCTAAGTGGCGAGACGATATATCCTGATACCAGTTTAATGAGGCGGGACGATATATCATGAAAGTATTGGCAAGGAACCTGCGAGACGATTATCATCACGATACAATGGTGGCGATACGATACGTATCCCGATACTTTACAATTTCTAATAACAGAACAGATATGATACATAAAATGACTGAAACTTTATTTGTTATACAGCAGAACTTGTGTTCCATTCACACACGCTTAAAAAGCTGTTCATCTAATAAAGTTTCAGCATTTAATGCTTAAAAAGGTCAAACATATTCAGCATACCTTGATCTTATATATATCAATTTGAAAGTGAAGTTTCCCTTGGGAAGTTGTGCTTCTACACCAATGATTTCACAAACAACTCAATGTAATTTATATCAACATTCGGAATCACTTAAGTCTGCTTTGTAAATTTTATCTTCTCTTTGTTCTCTTTCTAAACAACACTAAGACATCGTTCATAGTTGTAAATAGATAGTGTCATTTGTCAAACAACTAAAACATATCTGCATATTTCAATTACTTGAAGACAATTATTCTCAGTTCACAGAGTTTGTAAAATGTTCACACTCTGTGACTTATACACCAACTCCTTTGTTCTTGTAACAGAGATAACAGACACAAACAAATTCCTTTAAAATTCAATTTGTTTTTAAAATTCTGAAGATTTTCAAAGAGACTCCTTTCTTATTCCTAATGCAATACTCCTTAGAACTATAAGTAGTATTTAAGTTGTATCGGGATATATCGTCTCTTGTGGCGATACATCGATGCATCATGGACCCTCGCGATATAAATATCCTGATATATTGCCTAAATGTGTTTTGTATCGATGCACTCGTATCGCGTAGTTGACGATGTAAACATCGATACTATCGATAAATCGTTACACCACTAGTAAATATGAGTCAGTTTCAAGTACTACCTCATAACACACGCACGCACGCAAGCACTCACATAAACACACGCGCACATATACACCGTTCCCTATAGATCTATCAGCCCTTATGATGGATAGTGGGTACAATGTGTGAAGCCCATTTTGGTTAAAACATATTTTATTCTATTCAAGAAGAAAGAAAAGGATTGGCAAACAAGCCTAAATGGCTTATATTAATGCCGCTCCATAATACATGTGAAGGTTCACATTTGTGCATAATGTTGTACATGTTTATAGTGGTTATAACAAGTTATCTCTGAATAATAACAATCATGTATATCAACAATTTATCTTGGTTTTGTTTCGTGGCCAGTTGATACAAATACAAAATAAGAGAAGCTACAAAACTTTATGAATCAAAACGTTTTGACGTAATAATGAATTGATGGACTGACCGTAGAATATCCATATTCGTCTGATGAGATACTGAGTTATTGCCATTTAGCACATCCCGTAGGGAGAAACCTTTCACATAGAAATACGATTCGTATCGAATGGTATTATATTAGGACACATGAAAAAATAGTGGAATACATCCTCATAGTCTTGTGAGTAGGAACAAGAAGCATTATCAGAAAGCCCATTTCTGGTGTCTCCCGCCGTGACATTTCTGGAATATTGAAAGGCGGCGAAACTTCTTTCTCTGTAATGGATAGATTCATAAACTTTAGTTTGATGATCAGATAACATTGAACTACGTTTATAACGAAGACGCTTATGGCGAATTGGCGGATATAACGAACTGTATAATTTTGTGAGTTAGTGAGTGAGTATGGTTTTACGCCGCTTGTAGCAATATTCCAGCAATATCACGGCGCTAGACACCAGAAATGGGCTTCACACATTGTACTCATGTGGGGAATCGAACCCGGGTCTTCGGTGTGACGAGCGAACACTTTAGCCACTAGGCTTCCCCACCGCCCAGTATGCTTTTGTCGAAATGAGTATAACGAACTACGGTTATAACGAACTAATATGGTTGGTCCCTTTGAGTTCGATTTAACCGTAGTTGACTGTACACAGATCCACGTCAGTCACATGGTGACGCCACCGTCTGAATGCATGATGACCGGTGCATGATGCATATCTGTGATGTCAATGTCACAGCCGGACTTAAACTGGTGAACAGAAATACGGAAACAGATAGAAATTGGGGAAGCAGGTGCTTGACATGGCATCCTGTGTGTGTCCTGAGCAGATAACAGTAAACATGTATTAAAGTTGACTGAACATCAGAATTGAACAAGGAACTCATGAATGTTAGGAGAGTAAGAGTAACGTGTTTGACAGTACGTTGACACACACGCGTACCCCCACTCAGCCTCTCTCTCTCTCTCTCTCTCTCTCTCTCTCTCTCTCTCTCTCTCTCTCTCTCTCTCTCTCTCTCTCTCTCTCTCTCTCTCTCTCTCTCTCTCTCTCTCTCTCTCTCTCTCTCTCTCTCTCTCTCTCTCTCTCTCGTATCCCATTTACTGAGATCAATGCTCTTGGATTGTCTGGCACCGGTACCGACTCCATTATTTAGCTGGAATATTGCGGCGTGGAGTGCGGCGTTAAACAACAACTAAACAAAGCTGTCCTCTCGCATCGGGGCTAATCATCATTACTTAAAGAAAATATATGGTTATGAAACATAGCTCATTGTACTTAAATATACTGGTGTTTTCAGCTAATTAAATGATTATTTTATAATCACATTAAACACATTGCGATGCCTCGCAACATTATTTACGTATACCCTCCTCAACGATAACGCACAAACAAGAACGCAATCATCAACAATCACCCACCGCACAAACATCAACAGCCGCGACTTTGACGTGGGCTACGGAGGACAACATACGTCTAACTCGTACGCACCGACCTTACTCACGTATTCAAAATTACGCATCTGTATTTTTTCACACGTGAGTATATGGCATGGCAATCGACGAAACGGGGCGGTGGGTAGCCTAGTGGTTAAAGCGTTCACTCGCCACCCGAAGATCCGGGTTCGATTCCCCACATGGGTACACTGTGTGAAGCCCATTTCTGTGATATTGCTAAAAGCCGCGTAAAACTAAACCCACTCACTCACTTAATCGACGAAATTGATAACCTTATTTCCGAAACAATGCATATGTATACGTAATTCTGATATTCGCTACCTGTGCAAATATGCACCTGTGTAAATTTACATTTGCACAACCTCCAGACTTGATGTGAAATTACTTCAGATGACCTTTCTGGCAACAGTACCGATGTTTGTGTATTTTACATATACATGTATGTATATGTGTAGATTGGCGTGGGTATGGAAACAGGTGCTCTCGAGCAGGGAATGCTACAGATGAACTGTGTGTACATCTTTATCGAGGCTATATTTATACCGGGTAAACATAACTGTTGTCAAACGAGCCTGTCGACATAACGCCACCACTCTATGTCTTGTTTATCTGTAGCTTCCTACATACACTTACTGGGATAACTCGTGTAATACCCGGTCCGTTGAGAACCAGGCGCTGTTCAGAGCCCTTATGCTAGGAACATAAATGTCCTGGACTCTTTAAGATAAATTCAATTATGACTTGGAACGAGCTTGTAGTGCGTATGAAATGTAACAGACAAAACCAACCTTGTGAAAAAATATCGTTAATGCAAACAAGTGTTCCCAAATTGTTTGTGTTCGATTATGAGAAAACATGATTGATTGCTTGGTCGTTTAGTCATTGCGACCAATCATCGATTATTTCAATTAATCGGACCACCACTAGTGTATATGTTTATATTCGGTTGTCTAGTGGTAAAGGGTATAGCTCGTCGGGCAAAAGGCGGATTCGAACCCATACTTTTTGTCCGGCGTCTTTATATTGCATTGATATTTCAGGAATATCGCCTCGAAAACCCAACCCACTTTACCAATCAAACACACTTCACCAATCCAACATACTTAACAAATAAAACACACTTTACCAATCCAACACACTTAACAAATAAAACACACCTTACTAATCCAACATATTTTACAAATCCAACACACTTAAC